CCCCCGCCCTTAATGCTTACAAAATGTCTGTCGTTACCCCGAAGTATGACTGGTTCCAAGCAACTGACAAATAAATCCGACAGAATGGTGAAGAAGTAACCTTGTATGGATTCACATCTCATTCAGGAAGAGTAAAAGTGCTCCTTACTGCCTCTTCATGCAGAAATCACGGAACAGTGGCATTCATGCACGGACGACTTGGCTTCTAAACCTTTTTCACTCCCCTCCCCAGCCCCCTCTCGACAACTAGGCCCTCTATCGACATACATCCCATAATTTCTTTTATCCCGGCTGCGGTCTAACAAACAACATTTACGGGGACTGGTCTCGTCTCAGGTGCATATCACATACTACGGTTTCTTTTAGATTTTTTATCGGCAATATCAGTGGCAATATTTTATTGTAAATTAGGTATGTTTATGGCTGTGAAAAATTATGAAATTAGAGTCACTTTGGCTCGGTGAACTAGCTCTGACGGTAGATGTTTCGAAATAACGTCCTTTGGCTGTCAGGTGGAGCTCGGGATAACACGTAATAGGCCATTTTTGATATATTCAAATTCAGTCACACTTGGCTTCGAGGCTTGGGGGAGTAAAACAAAAGAAATCACATCCAGGTTGAGGAATGAATAACTAATTTCTTTTGTTTTATTCCCCTGAGCTGGAAGCCATCTTGGAATATTATTAATACATCGAAAATGGCCAACTAGTCTCCCTTAAAGATTTTACTGAAAGAGTTCCACAGATCCCGATGATTTTGATATGAAAGTACCCACTGTGGGTCTAATCAGGATAATGGTTAATACAGCGTGAGCTGACTATAGATTTACTTTCGATTTGATTTTAGATCATGGAGGAGTCACTAAGAAAGTTTGTCGAAGAACATTTCAGCCATAGATGGTTCCCCGCCCTTCACGGTGATATCAAACAAGTAAAACCCCTGGCACTGGTGGTTAAAAAGAATCGGCCACTATGGAAGCGACCTTTCGCAAAATTGGAAGTCATAGTCGTTGCAGAACTGGCGAAATATGTTAAAAACGAAGAGTCTCGGGTGTTTCGTGAATGCTTGGCATCTAAGATCAAAAAGGAAATTTTTACTTTAAAGCAGCACGAAACCATTGCATTGGAAGCCAGGTATGATAACGCTTTGACCCAATTTTTGCTGCCTGGTGATCAGCATGTTGCATCTTTAACAACGTTTGTTTAATGATAAGACAAGCTAATGTATTGGTGAGATTATCGTGAAAGTAAACAGCCAAATTTGCAATTTAGCTTGGCATAGTTACTGCCTTCAAATATTTTTTCACCGGAAGAAGAGTTGAAGTAAATAAGGGAAAGCCTCAGATACTGTTCTGTCATTTAACATTCTAATATGTTATTTCATGGCATTAAATGCAATGGTAAATTAATTATGAACACTTCAGCAGAATAGTATTTTTTTCATCTTTCAGAATCTACCTCCTTTCTCTGGACACAAGGTATTGGTTTGTGATATTCACTGTAATCCTCTATGTTTAAGATATGTCTGACTCATTGAAAGCAATTTATATTTAGCTCTGGATCATGCCAGGTGTCATGAAGAAATTTTTATTCTAGTGAGAATAAAGAATTGATAAAAGTTTAAAAACCAGTTTTGGACCTATCCAGATATTTCCACCCGAGATTGTTGTGCAATGTAACTTTGGTCTCCTCTTGGTAATACCGGGTGTATCGATCCTCTCAATGATCATGCTGCTAAGTCAATTTTAATGCTCTCATGACAGTACTTCTTCCTCCTTTAAACCTTGTTAGTGAACAATGCTCCAATGGTCAGTCATGCTGACCATGCTACTAGTTATGCCTAAGATTTCCTTTTTTTCACTTCACCAGGAGAGGTGTTTCAAAACAAATATTTTACAAAATTAAGGTTGCTATATATCATGACCGTAGGGAAACCCTTTCCAAAGAATGAGTCACAACAATAATTATAGGATTCCTGGGCATGAGCCATCCCCCCTTCTTTAGATTTTGAGCAAGGAGAATTATTTTAAGTGGTATTCTTGCAATACCAAGTGTTTCATTATATAGATCAAGATGACGGCATTAGAAGCTAAATGTTTTCAATGACTCTTATCGTCTCTAGGGACTCAGGATCAGACATCAGAGGTCCAAGATGGCGCTCCAATATCGAAACACCCTCGTAAGTACAGCCACTAAGTCTCATGTACGGTATTGTACATTTGTCTGGCGGGAGGTTTGAATGGAAACAAACTGCGCCAAGGTATTCAGTGCGGCCTGAGGCTGAGTGTCGTACTCAATATTTTTCACACACGGACCAGCTCAGACCCGTAAAAAACTTTTTTCGGTTGGTTCGCTTTTATCCGCTTTGCCGCTAATGGCGCGGAAAAAAGTTTGGACCATGGTACGTTATGTAAAGCTGAACCGGTTAGAGGCGCGCGACTATCCATTCAGAGGATTTAAGATTATTAGACAAAGTAACCTTTCAAAGTACAGTTCTTGAAAATAAAAGTTAGCCTGAAAAAATTGATTTAAAATTTATAATATTGAAATCCCCCTCGTTAAGCCCTGGTGCTTTTGGGGAAAACAATAAAAAATGTGTTCAAACAAAAAAATAATAGTAATAAAAAAAAAATAAAAGTTAAAGCTGAGTTTAAATTTCTGTTATTAGTGAAAACTGTGAAAAACAAAGGAAGGAAGGATGAAAAGAAGTCACCAAAAAAAATAGGATCATGCAATTTAGGCTTTTCACACACTTGCGCTAGCCAATGAGATTCCCGAATTTGGAGCCGCCCACGAAGTTTGAGCTTATCGTCTGTTTTTATTGAACTTTTTTTTCTTTTCTCACAACAGCTCCAGAGAACTGGTGCTCGATATCATACTTCGAACTAGACCAGCAGGTTGGAGAGATTTTCAAGGTGATGTCTTCGTGTCCGTCAGTGACAGTGGATGGTTATGTCGATCCCTCGGGCGGTAACAGGTTTTGTCTCGGTCAACTCTCCAACGTCCATAGAACCGAAGCGAGTGAGAAGGCGAGGCTTCACATAGGTTAGTGCCTCAATATCTGTTCATGAATCCTTGTAAGTAATTACTGATTGATTCAGCGGTGATTCTTCCCAAAGCCTAAGTGGAATGTCTGCACTCTTTGTACCTTTTTGTCAAGGAAGACACCCTCGAGAATGTCTGCACTCTATGTTCCTTTTTGTCAAGGAAGACACCCACGAGATCTTTAAAGAAATTGACCGGTTGTTGATGAAGAAAAAATTGTTTGGAAGCCACATATGTGGTTATGCTATGATCAGCCCTTAATTTCATTTACTGCT